GCCTTTTATTTATTTATTTATTTATTTTTCAGTAAATTTTTATTTTGTCAATATACAATGTATATGATTATTATGGCCCATCACCGACACCTCCCTCCCTCCTCCCTCTCTCCCCTCCCCCCCAAGAATGTCCTTTCCATTTGCTTGTTGTAACAACTTCATAAAAGTATAGTTGTTATATCTTCTTCCCCACCTGTATAATTTGCAAATATTTTCCCACACTCTGTTGGTTGTCTTTTAGCTCTGTTAATTGTTTCTTTTGCTGTGCAGAAGCTTTTTAGTTTGATATAATCCCATTTGTTTATTTTTCCTTTGGTTGCCCGTGCACAAAGCCTTTTAAACAAAATGATTTGGCTATTCTAAAATCAAACTCAGCAATAAGGATGGAAATTGCTTGAAAGGGACTTTTTACCAAAGTGTAAATATTTCAAGTGTAAACTCTTATAGGAAAGGCATTATTCCTAGCTTGAAATCCAAGTTAAAATTTATTGAGGAGAAAACTGACATGGGGTTTGAGGGGGTATTCAGAAGACTGATAGGTTCGTGATTTGGAAGAGCTAAAGGACTGGCCTTCCAGTAATTAGGTTAAGCTGTATTTCAGGTCCTTAATGCAGGTTATTTTCACCTTGATATAATAAGTCAGTTTTTATTGAAAATCTAATATGTATTCGGCACTACTAGGAATGATAGGAGATAGAGGAAAAGTAATAGACATGGTCTCCCCCACCATGACACCTATGATAGATGACATTCATATAAAAGACACACTCCTAGTGGCTGTGGCATAGATAAGATCATCTGATCAAGGGGGCATATTGGAATTCAAATGACTGAGAAAAACATTATGAAAAGAGAATCTTAAATCTATCCATATATATCATTCATTTATAGACTTTGGTACTTTTTTTATTAGTAACAAATTACTTGCTGTATACTATAATTTACCATAGCACCCCAGTTTGTTGTGAAGTGACAGTTGAAAACTGCTGTTTTGGAGCTTATGACAGTAGGGGAGACAGGATTTACTGGCATAAAATAACTGAATAATTCAGGACAGTATAAAATATACAGAAATGTGGAGATATGCATTATTACTCCTTAAGGGCTTTTATAGTCGAGGAAAGCTCTGGAGAAAATGGCCGCTGAAAAATGGATCGCATATCAGTCTAGGTTCTTAATTGCAAGCAAGAGAAATAAAATCTGATTGATTTTAAGCAGAAAAGGAATTTATTAAAAAGACAAGGACATATTGCATACCTTGACCCCACAAATTCATTCCTAGGTATATACCCAACAGACTCACTTGTTTACCAATATGTGCAAGAATGTTTACAGCAGCATTTGTAATAGAACCAAACTGGAAACTATCCAAATGCCCATCAGCAGCAGCACAGATAAGTAGTGTAGTATTCATCCGATAGTAGAAAGCTATTACACACAGCATGGGTGAATCTCACAAAACATAATATTGAGTGAAAGAAACCGATGCAGAAGAGAGAGCATAGTGAATGATTCCATTTATGTTGAGCTGAAAAACAAGTAAAGCTAATCTATATGGTCAGAAGTCAGGATAGTGGTTACCCTTTGGAACAGAATAGAAACTGGAAGGGGAGAAAAGGGGGTTTTGGGTAGTACTCGTAATGTTTTGTTTCTTGACACAAGTAGGTTCAGTTTGTGAAAATTCCTTGAGTTGTGTACTTAATGTTATGTTCACTTTACCCTAATGTATGTTATGCTGTGCACTTTTCTGTATTTATGTTACATTACATATCAGTAAAATGTTTACTTTATAAAAAAATGTGTATTGGGTAATTCAGAATAACTAGTGCTCTTGGAGGTATATTCCAAAGCCTGATTCAGTACTCCAAATCATGCCACAGAACCGCACTACCACTGCCTCTGGCTGTGCTGGCCTTGTTGCGTGGGAGCTTGATCCTTCTGCAGCTCCCCGCCCCCCCACTTGTCCCATTCCTGACTCCATTTGCAGCCCCCCTTTTCAAAGTCTGGGGTGATACCTTTGTTAGACAGAGCCTAAGCACAAGTGCTCCTCCTTGCTGTGAGGGAGGCTGGGAAAGCAAGCATCCAGCATTCTCAGCTTTTGTACTGGGCTGTGATATCTACTAGGAATTGTTACAAAGTGGAGAGGGGTTTCCACATTTGGGCCACCAGTAATGGAGGGAAATCCTTCTTGAGGTGAACATTTAGGTCAGTAGAAGGTAGATTTCAGGTTAGAAACAATAGAAACCTGGGGTAGAGGTTGAATAGAGTATGGCATTTAGGTCTGGTGGAAACAAGTTTAACTGGATTAAAGGGTGTGTTCTGGGAAAATGGTTTGACAAGTTGAAGGAGTAAGGTGGGACAAGATTAAGGATTACTTTGAAAGTCAGGCAGAGGAATTTAAATTTAATATGGGAATGTTGGAGCCAGTAAAAGTTTTTGAACAAGAAAGTGTCCTGAGAGGAAGTGGTATTTAGGACTATTAATCAGCAGCACTTTAGGGGCAGCTAGGAAGCATCTGCAGTAATTTGGAGGTGGGGCGGTAGATTGGGAATAGAAATAAAAAGCAAAGTTTCGATTTAAGAGAATATTTGAAGGACAAAAATCAATAGGACTTCATGAAGACAATGAAGCTATTTCTAAAACTTCTGAGCCTAAGTGATTGGTCCTGCCTTTCATTAGAAGCTGAGGAGGAAACGAGTTTGGAGGAAGTAGAAGAATGAATTTTAGTTTTCGAATTGTTGCATTTGAGGTGATAGGTATTTTAGTAAAAGTGGTCCCTGTGTGGTTGGAGATGGAGACGAGGAACTAGAAAGAATCGCTCTTCCAGACAGAAAGGCTGTGAAGGGAATGGAACAGAGTGTGCTGGAGCCCTCAGGATGTTTCTCAGTTCTGTTTGTAGGCCGCCAGTAGACTCTTGAATTTCTTTTTTTTTTTTTTTTTTTTTTTTTTTTTTTTTTTTTTTTTTTTTTTTTTTTTTTAAAATTTTAAAAAAAAAATTTTTTTTTTTTTT